TACTGAGGTCTTGAGCAGAACGCCAGAATTCCAGGTTTGCGTGGTCGGTGAGAATCTCGAACGGTTGTGGTGAACCTTCCAGGAAGCTTCTCCAGTCCTTTAATGCTTCGATGATAGCGAGCATCTCTCGGTCATAGATTTCGTAGTTTCGTTCAGCTGGTTGCATGGAGGCTGACCGAAATGCCACTGGGTGCCACTGGCCGTCGTCTTGTTTCTGCATTAGGGCTCCTCCCGTAGCAAAGCCTGATGCATCTACCTCAAGTTGTGTGAGCCTATTAGGGTCCCAGAGTGCCAGTACCGGTGCTGTGATGAATGCTTCCCTTAGGGTATCGAATGCTTGTTGTTGGTGTGTCCCCCAACTGAAGCCTGTATCCTTTTTTGTTAGGTCGTTCAGAGGGCGTGCTATGCGGGCAAAGTTCCGTATGAATCGACGGTAGAAGTTAGCGAAGCCTAGGAATCCCCGTAGTTCTCGTAGATTCTTTGGGGTAGGCCAGTCGCGGACTGCAGCTACTTTTACTGGATCCATGCGCACTTCACCTTCTGATATCACTAGTCCCAAATACTCAACCTGAAGCTCCTCAAACTCGCATTTCTCTGGTCGCAGGTAGAGGTCATGTTTCTCTAGCCGCTTTAGTACCTCTCGCACCACCTGCCGGTGTTCTTGCAAATTGTTACTGAAGATGAGGATGTCGTCTAGGTAGACTGCTACCTTACCAGCCGCCACTAGGTCTGAAAAGATGGAATTCATGAGCGCTTGGAAGGTAGCTGGCGAGTTGGTGAGACCGAAGAACATTACACTGGGTTCAAATAACCCTCGGTTGGTTGCAAAAGCGGCCTTCCACTCATCACCCTCCTTAATCCGGACATTGTTGTAGCCCCATCTGACGTCAAATTTGGTGAAGTACCGTGCCCCCTGTAGACGGCTGACAATGTCAGCGACCAGTGGGAGAGGATAGCGGTTCTTTAGGGTTACTTGGTTGAGTTTCCGGTAATCCTGTACGAAGCGGAGCTTCCCATCTTTCTTCTTAACAAAGAAGACGGGTGAAGACAGTGGCGATTTTGAGGGGCGAATGTAGCCTTTTCGGAGGTTGTCATCCAGGAAGCGGTCGAGTTCACCTTGTTCATTCAATGACATTGGATAGACTTTTGTGCGCATGGTTTCCGGTGCACCTGGGATCAATTCTATAGCATGATCCCAGGGTTGGTGGTCAGGGAGGCGCTCTGAAGCAGTTTCAGAGAATACTTTTTCGAAATCGCGGTAGGGTTCTGGGACCATTTCTTCAAAGGTTTTCATGGGTTTTGTTTTGTGGGCTTGTTCCGCTAGCTGTTGGGAGTAGGTGAACCCTGCAGCACACCAGACTTCATCTGTTTGTTCGTGTAAGATTCCTGACTTCACCCATGCACGTCGGGTTCGTCGGTTTGCTCGAATGCGGTGTATGGGCGACTCTTCTGTCTCCTCATCCAGTGTGTCAAGTGGTGGTTCAGGGGTGATCACAGTTTCAATTTCCTCCGCCGTGTCTTGCTCTTCCACCTCCTCTATCGTTGTTTGTTGGGATCTGACTGTGAGTCGTCCTTTCTCCCAGTCAATATCTGGATTGGCCTTACGTAGCCAGGGGAGTCCTAAGATTAGGTCTTCGCCTCCCAGATTGGTTACTAGCAAGTCTGTCCACCGTTCTTGGTTATCAACAGTCAGGGCTAGGCGTGCAAAGTGTGTGATCTGCCCTGCTCGGTTAGCAGACCCATCAATGTTAAAGACGCCAATGGGTTTCCTGAGTGGGAAGGTCCTTACACGGTGACGGGTGACAAACTCTTGGTTCAAAAATAGAGCAGTGGCTCCAGAATCAACCATGGCTGCAGTTGCTATACTGTGATTTCTTCCTCTTAGTTTTGCGTTAATTCGGAAGTGAGATGAATTGGAGTTCAATTCCGAAATAGTAGATATTTTACAAGATGGGAGAGAATCATACGCAGATGTGGAATGTATAGCGAACTGGTTTACGGGTACTCTCGATGCAGCCGAGACGGGCACCCGCTTTAAAAACCCTCCTGAGAACCTGGTGCTGGGGCCATGGCATTGGCTCTGTTAAGGAGCTCCTGGAGCTGGGCAATCTGGGTGGAGAGGTCAGGCGTAAGTGGGGACGGAGCAGTGGGAGCTGGAATGGACGCGGCAATTTGGACAGGTTCATTGGGGAAGAGGGTGAACGGTGTCGAAGCAGAAGCAGAGACTTGTTGACGGCGGGGTTGTTGGCGCTTACCCCGGCCACGTTCTAGACCCATGAACTTGTCTTGGCAGACTGATTCTAGGTGGCCTCGTCATCCACAGTAGCGGCAAACTGTCTCCTTGTATGAGCAGTTCCTCTTTTCGTGACTCTGCGAGCCACACCCATAACACCTTCCTCTCATCTGGGCCACGAAGCTTTCTCTGCTGTTACCACTAGTGTGTGTGGCATCGACATCCATAGCATGGGAGTTGGCAGGGGGGGAGGAGATATGGGAGGTGCCTGGGTTGCGACCTGTCATGGTGGGATCGTGCAGGAACACATCCACTGAAATTGCTCGCCTGATAGCCTCCTCCAGGGTGGGAGCCAGTCCCTGGGCTATATTGACCACAATGAGATTTTGTCGGATCTCCGGGTTGAGGCCGCTATGGAAGCGTTCTCGCAGGTCGACGTCTGAAAGCCCGGTCCGATCACCAATGTCCTTGAAATTCTGTGCGAATTCCGCTACCGTTTGACCTTTTGCCTGCCTGAGATGCTGGATTGCATTCCGGGCCTCCATACCTGCATCAATGGATTCAAATCGGAGGGTGAAGGCTGTTTTGAAGTCTTCCCATCGTCCATTGAAAGGTTGTTGGTTATGGCTGAATTCTAGGAGGTATGGTGTGGCCCAGTCAGCAGCCTTGCCTGAGAAGAATCCTAGCGCTGCCTTGATCAGCTTCCCTTCGTTGCTACTCAGATCTGGTTGTTCCATTGCCCAGCTTTGATACTGAGCAATGAAGCGACGTGCTTCTGCACTACTAGAGCCTTTGAAGAGCTCAGGTTTATTCATACTGGACTTGGCTGAGGCTTTGTGGAGGTTGGCCGTGAGCTGGGCCACCTGCTCGATGAGCTGTGCCATGAGCTGGTTTGTGTTGACTTCAGAGGTCGACATAATGGATGGGGGTGCAGTGGGAGTAGGGATAAGGATGGGTGTGATCACGGTACCGTCGGAAAGGTTCTCCTCTTCACTGATGGAGTTGGCAGCAGCGTTTGGACAGGGTTGAGAACTGCAATCAGCCCAGGAGCTGCTTTTGCTGCGGTGGATGTGGGTTTGGTCTTTAGTATCAAAAGCGTGTGGGTAGGCAGAGCAGTCGATAGCTTGGGCGGGCAGGCTTGGTGCGGAGGTGTCTGTAGACGTGGTGGAAGCGGAGCCTGCAAGGATAACCTAATCGGTAGGCTATCAGTGCAGTAAGGGATCTTGACCTAATGTCACAAAGAGGTGACGACGGTGGCGGAGCGGAGCGGAGACTTAGGCGAAAGCGGACACTGGTCCCAACGACAAAGTTATATTGATAATAAATACAAGTAAGTAAGTTCAAGACATACCTGGTCCCAACGACAAAGAGGTCAAGATAAGGGACCAGGTTGTGGGGGCTGGCTTATATATACAAGGTGGAGCGTGGGAACTATGAGGTAATACTGTATAGCTCCGGCACAAGGAATGGAACTAATAGAATGAAATGGAATGTTCCGGAATGATTATTGTAGGTAGGAGGGCTTGGATGGTGTATCGTAAAGAAAGGAAAATGATAGGGGGTGGGCTCACTTCATGACACTTTCAGCCTTTGTGTGTGGTGCTAGCCCCACCCCTCACTTCGGCTTGTGCCTGAGCCTGTGCCTTCTCCGTGCTTTCTCCCTTCATCACCACAAGGAGGATATACAAGAGATCTATCATTTGTTGCCTACAAGTCGTAATTCCAAACAAGGGTTAGATTGAAATCGAAATGGGTTGCGAGTCGGGATAACCTTCTCCAAGTAAACAAAAATTGATCTAACACTCTTGCGATTACTTATCATAATCGAAGCGCCCTGACGGCTCTGATTGTCTGAACTGAAACCCCGTGCAAAGTTCGTAGAAGCCCAAGCATTGTCCTGCACCTCCACTGGCACGTTCTCCGGGTTTTCGTCTTCCATTCTGGGTCCCAATAACGCAGTCCTGAATGTGATCAAAGTCTTTCAGCGTGCAGCAATTCCACATGATATCATTGGCCGTTGCGGAAGATGTAAAGACCATAGGAGTGGACAGGCCCTAGATGACCCTCAACGCATAAATGGAAATGACAAAAGAAATGGTGGAAAGTTTTGATATTGACCTTCAAAAAACTGTTTTGTCGAGATTAGGCAGGGTTGATCGTTGAAGGGAAGGTGCTTGTGATTGTGCTTGATACCATCCCTCTGTGTCAAGCTATTGAAACAAGTATTTAAGAGGCAAGTGATAAAGAACACAGCTAGGCTTCAAAACTATCTAGGGTCCCTTTCCGAAGTTGACACCACGATAATCCAATTGTAGGGTATAGTTACCCAGACATGATAAAATCTCTATTGAGGGAATCAGGAAGATCCGGTACCAATCTACTAGCAACCAGACATCTGAATGCACTGAAGATCCAGGATCGAACAGGAGAGGAAAAGGAACTCACCTCACTAGGTGCCTTTTTTGGCAAAAAAAATATGTGCCATATGGACGACTTGATTCTGGGTGAATGAGGTCAAGGTGATTAGGCAGTGACGAGAACTGGCAGTCTGAAGCTATAGATTCAGCCGATCTCGGAATGTGAGGAGTTCATGATGGTTTCGTCTTCAAAACATTGCTTTAGTTCTTCATCGTCGACGGGACTGTTTGCGTCAAAAGGATTGGAATGGGTTTCATGCCCAATCCACGTAGCCACTTGAGTGTTCGATGAAGATCCTCTTTAAGTGAGCAGAAGGTCTGAAAAAAAATATACAAAATCTATACTGCAATGATGAGAGTGGGATTCGAACCCACGCCATGAATGACTAGAGAATTTCAGATGCAGAACCTAAATCTAGCGCCTTAGACCACTCGGCCATCTCACCAATTAGTTGATGTGCTAGACCTATTGACTGGAGCTCAAGCGACTCTATGTTGAAGTTTGATCCCAGAATTCGACATACCGTCGCGCACAGTCAAAGTCTTACAATCTAAACTTGCTATTCCAGAAGACAATAGAAAGCTCTTCTCTGAATGCCTACGAATCTTCCACTGATGTGATGCATCCACCGCTTGCAGAGAATAGGGTCAAGGTAAGGGTAATATTGTTGATCCACCACCCATTTACAGACAAGGACAATTCAATTGCACCCACAACATCGAATGTCAGTATTTAAGACAATGCTTATGTTCTTCATTGGTCAGTAAGTTTTGAAAGTTCGATTGGCAAAAGGTTCAATGTAAAACACTTAAAAGTATAAATGCTCAGAGCACACCAAAGGTGCAGAATCTGTATGTTTAAGTAACTACCTGTAAAACACTTATGAGTATGAATCTAAGTAATTGAAGATTAGTATTCTACAGGTAAGAAAGGAAATATAAGTACTCACTCTCAGAGCACACTGAAGGTGCAGAATCTGAGAGTGTAAATCTATAATGATCATATTTAAGTTATTTTATCCTAGTACGGGTGCAGTCCATTTGTAAGGAGTAATCAAGTGCAAGACATTCCGAATCAGCGGAGACCAAGACAAATAAAGATCTAGATGTAAAGAGAGACTAGAATGATCAAGGAGTTTCCATCTACCAAAAGTGTCTTGGGGTCGAAGTAAGCATCTCTACCGTATTCCTACCATTCACACTCCCCTAGACGCACACATCGCCTTGTGTTGATAGACTCATTCAATTGACCTGAGTCCTATGGAGGGTCGCACCTAAAGGTTTCATGAGGATATCGGCCAAGTTTTCCTCAGAGGGGATGTATTCAATTGCTATCTCCTTCTTCTCCACCCTGTCTCTAAGGAAGTGGTACTGCACATCAATGAGCTTCACCCTAGCATGGAACTTTGGATTATGTGAGAGTGCAATGGATCCTTGATTGTCTCCTTTGATATGACACAGGAGAGGAATGCTATGACCAACTTCCGATAAGAATTGGTGAATCCACTTAGCTTGTTGTGAGCCTTTCGCAAGTGCAATATATTCAGCCTCTGTCATCGAAAGGGCTACTACATCCTGACGTTTAGAAGACCAGAAAGTAGGACTGCCTGCCATAGTAGTAAGGATCCCAGTAACAGATCATCTGGAGTCGATACAGGAAGCATAGTTGGAGTCGGCATATGTAATAGGACTTAGGCTACCTTCTGCATCTCTTTGATAGGTAATGCCATATGACTCTGTTCCAATTAGATATTGGACTAGCTGGATGAGGGCATTCCAGTGCAGACGTCCTGGACTGTGCATGAACCAACTGAGAAAATTTGTTGTATAAGCTATATCAGGTCTACACACTACCTGGCCAAGCTGGATTGCCCCCAGAAGCTCGCCATATGGTTTATTCTTTATGAATAAGATTTTGTCATTGCTTTGTGGGGATTTCAATATTGATAGGGATATACCAAGTGGAAGGGGAGTAGACTTTGGCTTCATGTCTTGTAGCCCATGTTTTATGAAGAGTCGATCCCAGTAAGCTTCCATAGATAATGTAGTGATACCTTCCTCTCGGTTATGAATGAGACACATTCCTAAAGCAAACTGGATGCTGTCCATGTCCTTGGTCTGATATTTCTCACCTATCTCTCTCTTTGCCCTTGCCATCTCTTCCCTAGAAGAGGAACCTCCTAAGGTGTCATTTGTATACGTCCCTGTTATTGTCTCCTGTCATGAAACAATCTTTTTCTTATTCTTTTTCCTTTTCTTTTATTTACTTACCTAATCACTGAAGCACTTACACCAGTGCTCATTATATTCTCATTCTCATTTAGGTTACACGCGTCAACCTTATTGTTCTCGCATTGTTGTTTCACTTAGGTGCAACTCTCTCATGCCTGTCAGCTCATTGACAGGACGACGTCATTATTGTTCCACTTCCATGCTTCCCTTTATATTGCCTTATTGTTTACTCACTGAATACCTACAGCTTTACTTATGGATATGAGTGACTCTTATTGTAGATCCTCACAGGTATGGTGCGAGAAGTCTCTCATGGTTTCATATCCTATACGTATATAAGACTTGATATTTTGTAGTTATATTCCTTAGCTCTATTCTTGTCTATACTCCTTGGTAGCTAGACTTGTAGTTGGGTTATCTTATTCATCCTCATCACTTTCCCATCCTCTTGCTCATCATTCATTGTGTGATGCCTGGTTGTCTCTTGTGAGAGCTAGCGAGTTGCTGACAGAAGAATAGAGCTTCTACCACACACCACCTGTCACAAACATTTTACAAACTTGCCTAGTATTCAACATTCCGTTGGAGACTAGTTTATCCTCAATACATCACACATTTTATTTTACCAAACACACTCACCCCTCCCTACTATAAATCCAACATGACCAATCAGTCCATACATGCTCCTTCCCCCGATGTTTCTGAAACCAATAGTCCCACTCCTTCAACTCACCAGGTGTTTGTTAATACACCAGGGAACTATGATGGTGATCCCACTACATACCGACCATGGTGACAAAGGATGAGGGCTTATGTGGCTGAGCTGATGGAGACGAAACAGGTTGAGGGTTCCCATTGACTTATCACAATCATCATGTCCTTCATGGTTGGAGGAAAAGCCGATGAATGGGCGCAGGTCTATACCGACGACCATTTTGATATCGAAAAAGGTGCATGGAACATTACAGGGAAGGATCTTTTCGATGACATGGACAGGGAGTTCACAAATGTTGCCAGGGAGAAAGAAGCCCGGGACAAGCTAACGTACATTAGACAGGGAAAGACTCCTGCTGGCGACTTCTTCAAAGAGTTTGAGTTGTTGCTGAAGGATGCCAATTACAACAGGAATGATTCACATGTTCTCACTTTAGCGGAGAATGCTGTCAATCATGCACTCCTGTATGATATAATCAAGAGCCGATCGGAGCCCTTTGCGGATTACCAGGAGCTGAAGAAGGTAGTCATAGGTGCTGACAATATCAGGTGGCAATGGGCCGAGCAGAAGAGGGGTTACGGGTATGCAGGGTGGTGGAATGCTAACCCACAAAGACAGAACCAGGGACAAACGTCCAACCAGCAGAACCAACAGGAGCCGAAAGCAGCTCTGAAGGCGGAATACCCCACAGCACAGCGAAGAGATGCCACTGGCACCACGTTTGGAGGAACGGGCAGGCCGATGGACATTGACCAAGCAAGGGAGAAGCGGCTGTGCTTCAACTGTGGTGAACCAGGCCACATGAGCAGGAATTGCCCGCACAAGAGGAAGGCGTTGGTCAGAGGTATTATGCTGAATATGAGTGAGCAGGAATGTATGGATTTTATTAATGACTTGGGCTTTCCCAAGGCTCCTCAGTAGATATAGGTCTGCAGGAGCCTTCGCATATGGACATTTCGGAATTTGTTGATAATGGCGTTGATTATATAATTAGTACAGGTACTAGACAGAAAAACGCGTCCACCTTCACACACAAAACCGAAAAATCCGAAAAACCTATACAGTATGAACCCGACACCACTGAATGGCTAACTCAGAGAGTTAGAGAAGATCAAATCCCGAGGGCAGTAGGATTATTATGGACTTGGATGCCCTCCTCCCGAGAAAAAGAAGCTTTGGAGGAAACCGTTATGGATATATGAAAACGGAATTGGAAAACGGCAGTCACAGCCATCAGAAGTCTCAAAAACAAGAGGAGCTATGTCTGTGGGACACGTGGCAAAAGCCTAAAGCTTCCGGCAATACTAGAGACACTGGAGGATGGTCGACAGATCATTACACAAGGACTTCTTGACAGCGGAGCAACCGGTTCTTGTATCGGCTCAGAATTCGTCAAACGGCACAATCTTGTCACCAAGGATTTACCAGTCAAAATGATAGTCTATAATGCTGACGGAATGCTCAATGACGCTGGCTCCATAGACAAGTATATCGAAATACGAATGACTATCAGCGATCACTCGGAAATCATACAGTTTGGAGTAGTAGGTCTAGGAAAGAATAATATCTTTCTGGGACTAGACTGGCTATGACATCACAACCCGAGTATTGACTGGGAGACATCTGAATTGACCTTCGACAGGTGTCCGACATGATGCGGCTATAATCCACACTTTTGGACACCTGAAGATACTCATTCTAGAGCGGCGTTACAGGAAGGCGAACAGCTTTTCCTGTTTGACTGGGACAGGTACATTCATGAGCAGGTACAGTCGAGGAAGTGGACGGAGGAACAGGCCAAGAAGGAAACAGCCGAAGAATTCGACACTTCCAAATCCTATGTTAAGGAATATCCTGATGTTTTCAGCCAGAAAGAATTTGACCAGTTACCACAACAACGCCCTTGGGACCACGCTATTGATTTAACACCAGGTTCCAAACCTTTAGATTGCAAGGTATATCCACTAAACCCAAAGGAACAAGAGGCACTCAACAAGTTCCTTGAAGAGAACCTTCAAACTGGACGAATTCAACCTTCAACCTCGCAGATGGCATCCCCTTTCTTCTTCGTCAAAAAGAAAGATGGCACCTTATGACTGGTACAAGATTATCGCAAACTGAATGAGATGACGGTTAAAAACCAGTATCCACTTCCTCTCATTCAGGAGCTAATTGATCGTTTAAAAGGCGCTAAAATCTTCACAAAAATGGACATCAGATGGGGATTCAACAACATCCGCATAAAGGAAGGTGACAAATGGAAAGCGGCTTTCCGAACGAATCAGGGGTTATTCGAACCGACCGTTATGTTCTTTGGACTCACTAATTCTCCTGCAACATTCCAAGGTTTCATGAACCATATCCTGCGAGATCTCATCAATAGAGGTCATGTTATCATTTATATGGATGACATACTGATTTTTACTAATGGTATAGAAGAGCATCAATGAATTGTAAAGCAAGTACTTGATATTCTATAAGAGCACAAACTGTTTCTTA